AAATAGCCTCTACTTTTCACAGTATGGAAGTGAGGGCGGGGGGGTGGATATTGTTTTTAAGTGAGGGAAACCTTGTATTCCATACTTAAGGGGTCATGTTCCCCCACCCTGGGATGCTCTGTTGGCCTGATTTAAGGAAAGCTTTCCAGTTGATCTTTTCATCTTCAGAAATAACACCAGAAATCAATTATGCCATCACTTTCCTTATAAAACTAACTAGCTTTCATTTAGCCGATGGTGTTCTAGGGATTCAGTGTGTTTGGATATTGGATTTCTGTACTGCCTGGGCAAGGTTTTCTGAGAGTGGTATGTGTGGTGTGTGTGAATGAGGGGGTGGGGGATGGCTCAGAGGGTGAGGAGTGGAGCATTGTCTTCAAAATCCCCGAGCAAGGGTGTTTCCATGTCTACTACCCTATTGAGGATTCTAGCAAATAGAGGTAGGGCTGGCTCATTCATATATATTAAAATGTTAAGGGAACTTCCTTCTAAGAGCCAACTCTAAGGCATTCTCTCCAAATTTACTTGTCTCTGTTGCTATCTCTTTTGTTAGAATGAGAAGATAATCTTGAAAAATTGTTTATGTACAAATCTATATGTTAAATCCTACTTTTAGTGCAGAGAGGCAGCTTGCAAAAAGTAAATTCCATAGACAGCCTTTTAGACAAACTCCTTTGGTAATGTGAATTATAGCCTTTGAATTTCTTGGTTGTTAAATCTTGATTTTATATATAGGTTTGCTTCAAGCAGTTCACCTATTTACTTTTTAATAGAACGAGTGGGTATGTTCCTTTTATAAAATACTCAGGGAGATGGAACCAGTGTCATGGTCCCTGGAGACTTAAGACCTCAGAGCTGTAGTCAGCAACTCTATGAGTTCCATCAGTATGCCAGTTCCCAGCAGGTTTTCTCTATCTGTATTTTAAGGAGTTGTATACAGAATCACTTTTCATGATGACAAGATGCAAGGTAATATGATTTGCAAAAAGAACTGAATGAATCTTTTTTTCCCTCTTTATTTTAATGGAGGCAAACAATGAATTCTTTCCTTAGTTCCTTCTGTTGGTCTTTGCCTTGGTTGAAACTTCGTTTTCCCTTTGCTCAGCCACCCTCTGGGGTTACCTGCTGCTTGGGCTGAAGTCCTGAGGCTTAGCAACAAGTAACAATGTTGCCACTGAGGCTAGTGGGCACAGCTGAACTAATGTTGAGATCCTAACTTTCAGCTTGATTTGATGAGATGCCACTGCTAAGTGTCATCTTTTTTTGGATCCCTATTTGACTGACCCTTCAGATAAAACAGGTGGACAGGCAAATATTAAATGGGAAATGTTTCTGTGAAACAAATTCATTTAATAGTGTTACCTCATAAATAAGTAACAAACACAACTCTACCCCCAACCTGCACTAGCCTATATAGCCAAAATGAAAAAGTAGATTGTATCTTTGTTGCTTTTGTCATGGTTTTACTTCAGTGAATTCTCAAATCAGATCCCTGTTTGTGCAGAAGTTTCCAAAATATTTGTTGTAAATTGATCTGAGCCAATTTGGCTGTACATTAGATTCTATTCTGGTAGATATCATTAATCTCCAACAGTTAGAGGTAGGTAAGGGCTATAGGTTTTCACCACACAACCAGTAGATTACAGTGAAAGCAATTCTGATTAAATTCCGCCACATAACTGTTTATTGATAATCAGGCATAAGACAGTTACACAGCCTGACCTGTACACCCAGCGACATTCTAGCTTTTTTTTTTTTTTTTTTTTTTTT